GAAGCATAAGAAAAGGTATACAGGGCTGGAACAGGAACCCCTTGAATTAGCCCAAGCTGTCTGGCACAGTATTGGGGAGAGTAAATTTCAAAACCAGAACAAATCGCCTTTTGTTGAAAATCTTACAGGGAAGATCAACGGAAGTCGAACGGTTCGCCAAAAGTCACTCCTATTCTTCTGGAAAGCAGGGAGGTAGGACTTGAATTGGGAAACGAAGAAAGGAGTGAAGGAATATGGGTTCTCCTCAGCAGAATAGATTTGAGAAATAAAATACCGAAGATAAGAAGATGGCTCTTCGGCAACAGAGATTAATTTCCTACTCAAGGCCTGACAAACTGGATGGTCAGGAATGGAGATCGAAAGGGGCTGAATAACTTGGTCCTTAGAAAACCAGGCAGGGAAATAGAAAGCCGCCCATGCTTGAAGAAGCCACAGAGGACCACCAAAAACTCCATTAACTTCTTCTGAAGCAATGGAGGAGGAAGCATGGGCTAAACCCCGATATAACAAGGCTAACATGGTTTTGCCTAGAGCCAGTGAGGTCCCTGATGCTAGAGTGGAAGCAACAACAACGAAATCATTTGAAATCCTAACTATGGGATGGCAGAAAAGGAATTTACAGAGCCAGTATAAAAGAAAAGCAGTATGCTCCTCGTCGGTAACTACACTCTCCTTTTTGAAGTACTTTTTATGAATGCCCCATAGGCCATTTCAGAATCAGATAATTTACCAAATATTGAGCGAGAATCGGGAGACAGGGTAGATGAGTCTATACCCAAAGGAGAGAGCCCAGTGAGGCAGTATACATCAAGCAAAGTTACCGACATAGGAGAGAAGAGGAAAAAGAAGCAATTAGTGGAAGGCGACCAAAAGCAAGATAATGCTCCGATTAGCTCACGATTCAAATGGTAATCAAAACAGCTAAGACACAGAGCATTATGAATTGAAAGGGTATCCCAAAGGGGACCCTTAAAAGGGAGGAGTCGAAGATACCACTGGTAGAAGTCTGGCTCAAAGACGGAAAAAGCCCTAAGGCGAGGTGGACGAGAATGCCACTGATATGCCAAAATAGATGACTCGTGGACTGGAAGCACTTCAAATTGATGACGTGGGAAGTGGCTTGATAGGCACCTTAGAACAGAGAACTGATTGTGCACTGCTAGACCAAGGATGAAAGAATCTTCGAAATCGTTCTCCACGGAGAACAGATGAAATTCTTCGTTGAAATCTTCAGAATCTCGGAATATATGGTAGCGATCAAGAGCATCTGATGCAGAAAAAGAAAAAGTTTGCTCCTTGGAAGCCTTGGAAGCCATTGAGTTCAGATGAATATCGAGAGAGAATGCAGAGAATCGAGAAGTTGCAGAGAGTCGAAAAAGTGAGAATGCAAGGGCACGAGGAAAGGAACGATTTTTAGAAGAAGGTTTTGAAGACGAAAGGGCAAAGCGCGCGAAGTGAGGTGACGAAGCGACAGCAATAATAAAACGTAAGTGTCTTTTCTTTCGGCATTTAAAAGAATTAAAAGTTCTTTTAATTCTTTTAAAAGGGGGCATATGTTGACACCAAAATAAGAATCGGCATAAGTGCCGAATCGGCTTTAATGCCGAATATGGTGTATAATGGAAATCAACCATTTGCCGAAACACGTCTAGACCAAATTCAAAAACATGTTGAGAAGCAAGTGTGAATGGTATCGTGTCCCGAATTCGGTAGTTGATGAAAATATGTATACTTACCGAAATATGGAGAGTTATAGTTCGGGACATTGGAATATTTATACCTCAGGATAACGACACTTTCCAGAAATTCGGGAGGTTCGCGCTTCGAGAATGCACTGAAGAATCACAGTCCAATCACGTAAATCACGACAGCAAGAAGTTACGAGCAGAAGTGGGGATAGTGAGCACGAGCATATTATGGGAAGTTACTTGTCCAGATTTGAAATCTTCTTAGCGGTTGAGATCAAGTTTTGGCGGACAACAAAACTAAAAAAAAAACGTGGTTAGAAAGGCAGTTATTGGAAGCGCCAAAATATTCAAAGTTTGAAAACATGGAAGTAACCGACGAGCAGTTGCAGGACAGGGGGAGATACAAATACTCAGAGGAAACAAAGAAGAAGGACACGACTAACAATAATGCAAAAACACTCAAGCTTATCTGCACTTTAGTTTCCTATGCATCTTTACTTCTTGTATTTACAGCTTCTTGTAGCTCTAGTTAACTTTCGAGTCATTTACAGCTTTCGTAGGAGTATTGTAACGTAGCTTGAAACTTTGTTTAGTCCAGATCCATTTTCAATCCATCAGATTTCTATCCATTCCATACAATCCTGTATTACACTTTACGTTTCACTGCAACTCTCCTAGTAGTCAAACCACAGAACCTACCTTAATAAAAACCGAAGATCGAAATTTCGGTAAAGGATATTCATCGTCGTAAAACGAGCGAACAGGTAGTCCAATCTTGGTTGGCCATTGACACACTATTATTCGATTTGATCATGCCCCATCCGCTTTGGCACTGCTTAGAAACGCGTCACAATAGTTCGGGGTCTTGCAAAAGTTATCTATCAGCACAATGTGATAATCTAACGAATCAAATTTGTGATATTTCCGACACCCGACACTTTGGTACAACCACCTAGATTCTTTTTCCAACGTAGTACACGTATATGGCCGGACGTAGATGACAATTTTCAACATTGGAGCCAAGCCATACCTTCCCATAATCCCCACTTGGGGATTATCCGAAGAACACACACTGACAAAATACTGATTGCTTTCTCGAACAGTGACATTTCAAGAAACAACAATCTCTGGTTCCTTTTCGACGAGTCGTGTATTTTGTCTGCAACTGACAACAAGAGATCCCGATTGTACGTAAAAGGTTAAATCTGAGCCAGCTTTCACGAGGTGATTTAATGATGTTCTGTCTCGCTCCATAAAGTTAACCACAACATATGTGCAATCCGCCAGAAATGGCGCCCTCCGTCCGTGATCCATGTTAAAAGTTTCACAGACCCACGGTCTCTCTATCATTGCAACTAGAAAAAATTGCAACATTGCCTATCTATTGATTAATACATAGGGGCACCATAATTAATACATGATGAATACAAAATATATACATGATCTTTTCATCAAGAATTAATAATATATTACGCTACCCGGCGATAGCCAATCGAACCTGACGTAGAGTTTACATTCCCCACCTAAAAGACCATAAGTTCCCTCCCTGTATTTTTCTTTTCAAGAGAAAAGGAATACGGAAAGAGCTTATGGAAAGATTCCTCCACCATATCGAGAAGTTTCTTCCCATATCTTCCCTTGAGCCTTTTAAGGATATGCTCAGGTCCGAAACCACACCATCTATACAATCAGCCAAAAATGGCGTCCTCCATCTGTGTTCTATGTTATAAGTTTCACTGGCCCACGTTCTGTCTTTCATTGCAACTAGAAAAAATTGCAACATTGCCAATCCGTTGATTAATACATAGGGGCACCATAATTAATACATGATTAATACAAAATATATACATGATCTTTTCACCAAGAAATAATACATGATTTACAAAATTAAATCTTTTCACCTGTAATCCGAATACTTTAGCAGATATGAATGGACAAAGACATGGGATATTTTCCTCATGAAATATGTCTTCTATCTATTAATTTAAAACCGCTCTTTATCTCACTCTTTCATTTCTTCATAAAAGAAAGGTTAATACCACGAAAAACCTCAAACTGGTACACATGTGATAAATTTATCCCAAACTAATTGTTTGACCACAAAAAATCTCAAACTGGTACACCTGTGACGAATTTACCCTTTGTTAGTTTCCATAAAATTTTACCGTCAAATTTCTGAGTTGAATGACATGTGACAGTTGACGGATATACCAGTTTAGGTGTATCGATTTGTGATTTTTCGTGGTATTAATTCGATTTGACAGAGGGTAAATTTGTCATAAATGTACTAATTTGAGGTTTTTAGTGGTCAAAAAATTAGTTTTTGGTAAATTTATCACAAGAGCACTAGTTTAGAGTTTTTTGTGGTCAAAAAATTAATTTGGGGCAAATTTATCACATATATACTAGTTTGAGGTTTTTCGTGATATTAACCCTAAAAGAAAATGGATTGGTTCCAAATAACCCCTAGATTAAATGCTAAAAGGACGTTAGAAGGTATGACTAGTATACCTCTTATAACCCCATTTCATCCCCTTCCTCATGCATAAAATGATCCATGTTCTTTGCATGCGTGTTGCACGTGTCTCGACATTAGTGAATACTAACTTGAGCATTTAAGAGTCTTCACAAAATAAGGTCACGAGACTTTTCTATTCGCGGCGTGCACATTTTAGACATATAGTCCAGTACAATGCTTGATTCCTCCTATTATTTTTTAGAAATTTCATATTTTTCATGAGATTCCTCTCAAAAAGTTATGCGGAATCAAAGATATTTCGCACAAAAAAGTAGTCGAGGTGATGAGATATGCACATTGGAAATTTTGTCCTCTCAAAATTGTTGCAAAAGTTATGCAAAATAAAAAAGAATATCGTCCAAAAAAGTTGTTGGATCGATGAGATACGCGCTGTAGAAGTTTTGCACTCTCAAACTTCTTGCAACAGGACAAATAACATGAGACACGTTTTAAAAGCTTGATTCCTCCAATTTTCTAGACACTTTGTATATTTCATGAGATTCCTCTTGAAAAATTATGCAGAATCAAAAGAAATGTTGTTCAAAAAAATTGTCGAAGCGATGAGATACGCACTCTAGAAGTTTGTTTTTCCCGGATTTGTGCATCAATAATAGGGTGACCTAGGTTGCGAATGATAATCATTCTGTTTCAGAAATCAATTTTTGGCCAGAAATTGATTTTTCTATTTATGTTCCTAGACAAGTTTCTGAGCAAAAAATCACGTTTGATAACAACACAAAATTTATGTTTCCAAAACAAAAATTTGTTTGATAACGGCATAAAATTTCTCCCTCTCAAGTGGCTGGCGAGTGGACGGCAGGCGGCGACCGGTGGCAGCAAACGACGGGCGGTGGAAGGCGGGGGGAGGCGGTGGCGAACGACATCGCGGCCAGTGCAAAGGACGGCGGTTGGAGGCGACTGGCGATGGGAGGAGGGCAGCAACGAGAGGAGGGCTGCCAGTGGATGACGGGCGGCGACCTACGGTGGTCGGCAGGGGGAGGCGGGCTGTGGCCCACGGCGGCCGGCGATGGAGGTAGATGGCGGTGAGAGGAGGGCGATCGGCGGTGAGAGAAGATGGTCGGCCGTGGGAGGAGGTCGGTGGCGTGAGGAGGTCGGTGTGAGGAGGTGGCCGGTGAACAGTGGCCGGCAGTCGGCGGCGAGAGATGGCAAATGGCAGGAGGCGGGTGGCGACGGGAGGAGGGCGACTGGCAGCGGGAGACGGTGGCCAGTGGAGGCGGGCAGCGGCCCACGACGGCTAGCTGTGGGAGGCGAGCAACAGCAGGAGGCGAGCCGGCGGCGAGAGACGATGGCCGGTGGACAGCGGCCGGCGACTGGTGACGGGAGACGACAAATGGCGGGAGGCGAACGGCGACGGAAGGAGGGCAGCCGACAGCAAAAGACAGTGGCTGGTGGACGGCGAGCATCGGCCGGCAGTGGGAAGAGGGAGGCGGTGGGAGGAGTGCGGCGGGAGATGGTGGCCAGTGGACGACGGACGGCGACCGACGGCGGGAGACGGCGAATGGCGGGAGACGGGCGGCCGACGGTGAGAGACCGCTAATGGCGAGAGGCGAGCGGCCGACGGTGAGAGATAGCGAATGGCGAGAGGCGAGCGGCAACGAGAGGAGAGTGGTCGGCGACGGGAGACGATGGCTGGTGGTCGGCGAGTGGTGGCCCACTGCTGCTGGTGGCCCACTACGGCCAGCGGCGGGAGGAGGGCAGTCGGCGGTGAGAGACAGCGGCCAACAGCGAGAGATAGCAATCGGCGGCAAGAGACGGCAAATGGTGGGAGTCGGCAACAGGAGGAGGGTAGTCGGCGGCGAGAGACAATGGTCGTTGGACGGCGAGTGGGGGCCCATGGCGGCTGGCGGCGGGAGGAGGGTAGCCAGCGGCAGGAGATGGTAGCTAGTGGACAGCGGGCAGCGGGGGCAGACAGTGGGAGGCAGATGGCGACTGGAGGCAGATGATAGCTGGAGGAGGGCGGCCGGCGGCGGAAGATGGTGGCCGACGGTGGGAGGCAGGCGGCGGGAGGCGGGAGGCGGGAGGAGTGCCGCCGGCGATGGAAGACAGTGGCCGGTGGACGGTGAACAGCGACCGGTGGCGAGAGACAGCGAATGGCGGGAGGCGGCGGCCGGCGCGGCGATAGGCAGTGGATGAGCAGCCGGCTAGTAGTGAGGGCGAGCAATGAGAAAAATTTTAACTTCTTATTTCTGTTCCAGAAATAGAAAAGTAGAAAATTTTAACTTTTCATTTCTATTCCAAACCTATTTTTGAAATCAAAATTTATTCCCGAAATAGAAAAATAAAATTGCGTTACCAAATGGATTTCTGTTCCAAACATGTTTCTGGAACAGAAAAATAAAAACAAAATAGTTATCATTCGCAGCCCTAGTGGTCACCAAGGCGGTTGGCCTAATGGTTAATTGATCACCTTTTTTTCTCTTTTTGCGAGTTTGATACGGGTTGTGAGCAAACTTTGCACGGTTAGTACTATGTTGCCTAGCTGCGCATACGTTGTGTGGACAAATTTCTTGGCTGCCAACATGTTGGTGAAGTGTTGGTGACAGGCTCGCCAACGTCGGCTATTCCTTGTTTTCCAAAATATTATGAAATGCTCAGTAATGGACTTGATGAAATGGAAAGACCAAGTTGCTTTTTTTCCTCTTTTAAAATAATTTGGCATACCATTTGCTATTTTTACTGAAAACTGCTAGCAAAATAAGGTACCGATACATTCTGTCTAAAGCAAAAAACTAAAAACCAAGGTGTCTTCGCATTGATGTCAATAAAAATCGAAATCGAAAGCATTCTTTTCAACCAAAGGCAGTGTTATCACAAGCTACACCTATTCTGTTTTTGCCATTTAATTTCTATCTTCTATATCTTGTCGTGATTGCTGTGGAGGGCCATGAAAGTGAATGTTTTAACTTCGCATGAGATTGTATTAAAACCTAGGATTAGCAGTGTAATATACTAGGAAAACACTTCACCTTCAGATGGATAGATTCTGCATGCAGTGTAATCGACAGATTAAAAATCCCACATAAGACAAATCCAACGTTGTTTTCTTACAAAGAGGAGGTGGGAATCATGCATCTGCTTACATTCGGGGTGTGACTTTTGGATTTTTCTTTCTATTTTTTTTGCAATGATTTATCATATCTATTCTCACATGGCCAAAACACTATAAATATAATCTCCTAATCAAATTAATAATTCTAATAATGTCGAATAATGATCAGTTAAGTATAGGAGAGATCGTGACAAGTACAGCCCGCCGCATTCAGCGATCATAAAGAAATGTTTTTCGTAAAAAAAATGGAGCAATTTCTTATTCATGAGAAGTCCTTTTGGTGGACTTGATATGTACTGTAAGGTATCAATTAATACCCACTTACGCTTATATCATTATTGAGTTTTTAATAATTAAATGCTTTAATATTGCAACAGCTACTCCCTCTAATGTGACTTGTAATCATGATGATGTTTTATATATTCTTTGGTGGACACAAAGTGGCCACCAAGGCAACTGGCCTAATGGTTAATCGGTCCCCATTTTTTTTTTTGTGAGTTCAATTCAGTTCGTGAGCAAACCTCTGCACAGTTAGTGCCACATTGCCTAGTTGTGCATACATCGTGGGAACAAATTTCTTGGCCGCTAACATGTCGGTGGGGGTTGAGATGACAAGCTTGCCAGCCTTGAATATTCTCTTTTCCAAATTAGTCTAAAATTCTCGGTAATGGAGTTGATGGAATGGAAAGACCAAGTTGCTTTTTTTTCCTTTTCAAACAATTTGTCATTCAATTTGTTATTTCTAGTGAAAATTGATGAATCATGCATCTGCTTATATTCAGGGTGTGACTTTTGGATTTTTCTCTCTATTTATTTTTGTGATGATTCATCAGATCTATTCTCACATGGCCAAAAACACAATAAATATAATCTCTTAATCAAATTAATAATTCTAATAATGTCGAATAATAAATCAGTTAAATATAGGAGAGACCGTCACAAGAACAGCAAACCCCGGGAACCACCCATCATAAAGAAATGTTTTTGGTGAAAATGGAGCAAATTTCTTAATCACGGGGTTATCGTTTTGGGAGTAGATCTTGTGATACGTAGACTAAAGTATCAAATTAATAATGAATTGCACTTATATAATCATTGAGTTTTTAAAATTAAATATTATCAATAATGCAACAGCTACTCCCTCGAAATGACTTGCGATCAGAATGAAATTTTATTTAATTTTTTGGTAGGTACAAAGAAACTGGGAAAGGAACTTCACCACATGCCTTGGGGAGCTGAGCTTATGCTTGTATCTAGTCAAGTATATGGCTCGTATACAAGGACCGAGAGCATTCTTAGTCCATTTTTATTATTGATGCGTACGTGGGATTTTTCAAAATTTTGCGGACAAGAATAATATTTTATTTTATTTTATTTTATTTTATTTTGGTTTGTTATTTTGAATTTATAACTTTCTTAATCACAGTTGACTTTCTGCAAGTATATAACTCGTATTTAAGGACCAAGACATTCTTATTATGGTTGCGCACAGGTGAATATTCGGAATTCTGTGGATGAAATTTGAAAAGAATTGATTATTTTAGTTTGTAATTTTCAATCTTTAACTTCACGGTTGACTTTCCGCAAGTATACAGCAACATTAGTGTCGCGACCTTACCACCGCGGGTGGCATCACCTAGGGGTTAGCTAATGGATTACTAAGCCTAAACCTAGCTCGGGCTCTCCCAAGCCCATATCAATTTGTAACTTGGTTCAAGTTCTTAATATGTAAATCATTTTCATTTAGGAGTCTACTAATCTATTTTTTGGTGAGTAGATTAGAAACCCAAGTAAAGTATTGGGAGATTTACTTTACTCCTACGAACCAAAGTTCAGGGACTTAGTTACGCTAGATTACTCTAAATCCCTTTCGGTACCTTTTCTCTTTTATTTTCAAAAAAATATTTTGCAGGCAGCTTGAATTAATTTTAACTTATCCACTAACATCAAGAGGTGATCATTGAGTGCGCAGTCAATGAAATTAACACTAAAATAACAAAACAAGCAAATTGTAAGAAAATAAATAAATTGGTCACACCAAAACAATCAAATATTTTTTGGATTTTATTTTATCTTGAAATGAAGTCTAATCTGCATGACATGCGATTTCCTAACATGCAACCTCTATGACATGCATATGATATTTTTGGTATTTTTATTAAAATTCGAAATAAATGAATGTCTTAATCTAAACAAGTGATTAAATCTAAGAGAAGAATATAATCTATTCTAAGATATTTTAGGTATTTTCTTTTATGGAAACAATCAAGCAAAGGATAAGCACTCATCACAAGATAATATTCACCAAATCCGCACACGTAATCCGCAAAAATCTCAAATCAAAGATTACGATAATCTGAAAAATAACCCATCATCTTGCAGATTAAATTAGAGATTACCGCAATCTTTAGGCACAACAATTACCCAAATATTAAGTCGAATTAATTAAAATAATGATCCAAAATCTTTACGGAACAAATTAGTAATTATATCGACTCAATCAATAGCCCTAATTGGATAATTCCTAAAATCTCAATCAAATCAATTAGATAACAAAATCTATCCGAATTAAGCAATTAAACAATTTATATCAAATCGGATAAGATCGTTACCTAATTTGGACACGCATAATCTTATCGGAATCGGACCGGTTCACGACTTGCAGACGAGGCTCGGAGGATAGCCGACGGTGTATGCTCGTTGATGGCCTGGCTCAAAGAGACTCGCAAATAGCGACTCGAATATTCTGAATAGCCTGTAAAACAGAAAACCTAACACCTCGGCTTGGTGAGTATCCGGTGAATACTCGGCAGGAATTGAGGCGGTGCAAGACTCCCGATGCAGGTCACGCCAGGGGAGTCACGGCTTGATGTGGCTGAACGCGGTGCCGCAAAAGGATCGTCGCTCGCTGGAAGTTCTCCTGGAACCAAGTTACCGAGTTCGTGATTGGAGCTTGTCAAGCGTGACTAAGACTCGCTGGAAAACGTGGTGTCTCGGTAGAGCTACGAGCGGAGCGAGGAAAGAGCGACAGAATGTGGCAAAGCACGACAAAGTGGCAGCAGTGCAGGAGCTAATACGATCGTGGCAACGATGGAGCACTGTCAGAACCGTTGCTATGCAAGCAAATAGAGAGAATTCTTGCTTTTCTTCCTCCTTAAGCTCTTTGTCTGTTTGGTGGAGACCCCTCTTGGCATCTTCTTCAATGTGTTGAACGCGCCTTGTGTCTCACACGCAGGGAAAAGCCTAAAAAACTACTCTCTCTTTTTGTGCTTTTTATTGTATGTGGTCAGACCCAAAAGAAAAGCCCCCTTTTGGCTAAGCGATGGTCTATTTATACTGTATAGGAACCGACCTTCTCATATATTCTTTTTCCCAATCAATTATTTCTTTCCCTGGTTGACTGATTCCATGCGAATATCTTATTTGATTGAGGTCATGTATCTCTTTCTGCCGAGCCGAATATATGCTGTCCATTTTTTCTCCTTGCTTGAACCAAGAGCATTTTCTTTTCTTTCCTTTTTTTTTTGTCCTTTTATAGATTTGCCAGCACGAAAACAATCACATCTTTCACATATGAATATCAGGTCGATTGCTTTTATTTGCCAAGAATTCGGTGACGAAATCGCAAATTTAATCACGAGATCAATCCTCCTTAATCTAGCGCTTAAGTCCATCTATCGTTAGTCCAAGGAAAATGCAATTATATGAGCCTATTACTATATGCAAATGCTCCTAATTTATATGCAGTTTAACTAATTTTTTCTAGGGACCCGGATCGATCCCTAATTTTCTATGCAATAAATGACTAACTGGGTCGCCAAAATTTAGGTGTCAACAATTAGCAAGGAACAAGACATTCTTAGTCCGTATTTATTTTTTATTTTTGCTAAACTTAGTTCATTTTTATTATTATTGGTATATGTGGACATTCAGAATTTTACGAATGAAAATTGAAGAGAACTGATCATTCTGGTTTATTATTTTTAATTTTCAATTTTATTAATCCCAAATGATTTTCTGTAATATTATAGCTCATATGCAATGACCAAGACATTCTTAGTCCATTTTTATTTTTGTTGTGTATATGTGAACATTCAAAATTTTGCGGATGGAAATTGAAGAAAAATGATCATTTTGGTTTGTTTTTTTCGATTTTCAACTTTCTTAATCACAGTTGACTTTCCGCAAGTATATAGCTCATAAACAAGGACCAAGATATTGTTAGTTCATTATAATTATCGTTGTGTGCATGTCAGTATTCAGAATTTTACGGATATTTATTAAAGAGTAGCAGCAAGAAAGTAAACCATTATGAAATGTTAATAAAGAATGACCAATTGTAATTCCCATTGCTTAAAAATTAGATGAATTGTCACGCTGCGTGACCACTTCTACTTTGAAACTTTCTCATTTTGTGTCAAATCACTAACTTAAATTATAAGTGTTATGCCAACTTTTCTCTAATTAAGTTATTAAATAGCTTTAGGGTACCAATCATTTGAGTTAGTTACCAATATTTCTTTGGTTTTTTTTATTTACCAACTTTCAATTCGGTTATTTAAGTGGGAATAGCATTGATAATTCACTCAAATAAAGGTTAGTAATCTGATATGATAGTTGGTAAGTTTCAGGCATTAGTAAGAAATGTAAACAAAAATTGGTAATACATAAGAACTTTCTTTGTAAAAGATAAGAGAATTTCATTAGTAAAATTACAAAATAAACGTTGGTGACTAACTAAAGAATTACTAATACAAAAATAGTTGGTAACTTAAAAAGCAAGGTATATAAGTTGTACTTGATAAATAAAATCTGTTGGGAAGAAATGAAATAAAAGGTGTAAATGATAAGAGAAGTCTTTCTCTCCGAGATAAGAGAAGTTGGTAATTAAAAAAAAACACAAATAAACATTGATACGTAACGCAAATATGAATTTGCGAATTGATAGGAGAAAATGTGGTAAATGTTTTAGAAAACAGGTCGGGAAGAAACTCAAATAAGAGCTGGTAAAACAAAAATAGTTGGTATACTAATGGGAGAAATGTTGGTAAGTCACACATATGAAGGTTGTAAGTTCAAATAAGATTGATAAATAAAAGGTTTTCGTAAGAAAGAACAAAAGTCAATAAGCAATAACAAAAGTTGATGAATAAAAAGAAACCAAATAAATATTGGCAGGTAACTGAAATTATAGTTGGTAACTCAAAACGATCCAGTAACATAATCGAAAAAATTTTGTAAAAATTCAAATTTTATATCAATAGATTCAAAAAGGTGTTTGTAAATGTAAATCCTTGGTAAAAGAAAAGGAAGGAATAAAAGTTGCAAATTTGTAAACCACCATAAAGATTTCATGATTTATAAAAATGATGTTGAGTTACCAATAAGTTACAGGAACATCAGGTAATCGGTAATTTCATTATCGATATCTTGTTGACACTTCTTTTGAGATACGGAACAATATAATACTCCTGTTGAAAGACATTTATTCCAACCAAAGTCAAGTGTTCCAAATAGCATGTAAGAAGATGGTCTTCCCAGCATGTAAATAGGTCCATAGAAAATAATTAGGCCTGGCATTCGAGAGGAGAAGAATTCGCCGGACCGATCTGGTCCAGTTGTAGGATAGTTGCAAAAACCATCTTCAAGTTCAACTCTCATATAAATTTGCATACTTAATTTCTAAAACTTACAATTAGTGCGTTACATCGAAAATCGTGAATAATTAGAGGAAAAAAGCATTATTCACAAAAAGAGCCAAGAAGACCGTACTAGCTCTAATGGCTCACCACTCCCCACAAAAACTTACCATTTCACCTAAGACTGGCCGCCACTGCCACCCACCGCCTGCAACCTCCCCTACCCGCACCAAAGCCATTACTAGTGGGACAACCCAATAGGCACTGTGGCAACTCAAGCGACCTCGACTAACGTTGAATTAGCAGCCAACATGCCCAACTTGGCTAGCTTTGATCAGAGAGTAGGGAGTCCCATCCTGGTTAGCTGTCAACACTATATCTTCTAATTTGAACACACCTCTCATGCCCTGGCATGGCTTTGAAACGTGACAGGCTACACTACTAGTTCGGGGCCGCACAAGACTTATCACTCAGCACAAGTCATAAATAGGCAAACCGGAATCAAAGAAATATCTGAACACCCGACATTTTAGTCCACCTGTCAACCGCCTAAAGTCGTCCAACGGGTACACATATTTGGCCAGACAGCAGATGAGAATTTGCTTGTAGCACAAAAAACAAAGTAGATGAGAATTTGCAACAGCGGAGCCAAGCACACCTTCCCATACACTCCCTGTCTGGGGAGTATCCGAAGAACACACACTGACAAAATGCCGATTGATTGCTCGAACAGTGACATTTTAAGACTGGACAATCTCCTGTTCCGTTTCGACTTGTCGTGTATTTCGTCTGCAAATTTTACAACAGGAGGTCCCGATTGTACTACAGTAAAGGTCAAACCGAGCAAAGCTTTCACACGCAGTGATTCAATGATGACATGATGACTCTGTCTCGCTCCATAAAGTTCACAGCCACCATGTGTACAGTCCGTCAAAAATGGCGTCCTCCATCTCTGTTCAACATTAAAAAGTTTTACTGACCACGGATGTCCTTAAAAGGTTCAAACATGCTCCACCGCAGGGGGATCTTGCCTGAGGTGAGAGACTTCCGTAGCATCCCCTGTGCTCCCTTCTCTTCGAGAAGAAAAATATTGAGGAGGGAACATGGGAAACTTTGGATGGAAAAGATAGACTTTACGTCGAACTTTAGTTCAGCTATTGCCGGCTAGCGCTGATATAATAACTTTCCGCGCCTGGAGTGACAAGGGGGAGGTTAAACTCTCTGCGGACTGGCGTGCCTAATGGCAAGTCTTGTAAACCAGATTGCCATCATCGTACCCCCGGTTTACAAGAGTTGCTGTTAAAAATGGCGTCCTCCGTCTCTGCTCTACATTAAAAGTTTTACTGACCCACGTTTTGTCTTTCATTGCACAATCATTGGCACCATTATTAGCACGTGATATATTGACCAAAAATTAAAATATGATGTGAAATATTTACCTTAAATATTTTTACCTGCAACACAAAAAATCATGAATTTATAATTGTGTGATATATTTACAGAATCATCATTAAAATCTGCCTAGGTGTTGACATGGTATCTATATGACTTAAGTGAAATAAAAACGATATTATTTTAGTTGAAAAATCATTTAATATAACATTGACGGAGGGTAAATGTGTCACACAGGTATAAGTTTGAGGTTTTTAATGTCACAAAAAAAAATTAAAGTGAGTGTGTCGGGGTGGGCATACTTTGAGATTTTTGATGTTACAAAAAAAATTTAGTATAGTTAAAGATTTTTGGTAGTTTTTCTCCCTATATAGTTTACAAAAGTAAATATTTTCACCTATTTTGGATTGAAAAGCGAAGCTAACCAGATAGTTTAAGCCTCGAGAGATAAGGCTTAAGGCATGGCATCGACTCATAATCCGAAAACTTAATTAAAAAAAAAAAGAATACTTTGTCATTTGGGTCTTTGTTTTTTTTTTTTCTGATGGAGTCAATTAAACAAAATAATTTGTCATTCAATTTTTTTTTTGGTGAGAACTGATCTTCCCTAGTTAGCAAAATAATGTACCAACACATTTTTTTTTCAAAAAGCATAAAATCGAAAATCAAAGGTACTTTCACGATAATGTTAATAAAAATCATTACTTAAAAAGCATTCTTGTGGACCAACGACGGTGTCATCGCAAGCTACTTTTATAAGTCCACATGTAACAAGTCCAACGTTGTTTTCTGATAATTTGGAATAATAATCAGTTTATATATAGGAGAGATCGCTACCCCGTGATTCACGGGTCATAAACAAATGTTATTTAGTGATAATTGCAGTAATTTTCTTATTCATGAGGAATCCTTTTGGGTTCAGATCTTTCTTTCTTTTTTGTTGTAGTTCAAGATCTTGCCACAAATAATTATTTTTTGGAAAATATTTTTCAAATCATTCATTTTCTGTGAAACAAAAGGAGCCCTAATCACAATTGACTTTCCACAAATCCTTAGATGAAAAAATCATGATCAAATAGTGAATCATATTAAAACTAACAACCAATTTATTCGGTCATCAATCCAGGGGGAAATTGTCCAATCAGTCCTAAACCTTTTGTACGGCCAATTCAATCATAAATTTTTTAGCTTTACCAATATGATTCTAAACCTTTGTATGGAATTTCAATTTAGTTCTTCCGACCAATTTCGTCGTTGCTAATGATGGCCGGCTGGCAATGAATGGACTGTCGCGTTAGCAATTTCATGCGAAAATTAATCGAAATAACCAAATTAAAATCTCGCACAAAGATTTAAGACAAAATTTGACAAAATTGAAAAATTTAGGACTGAATTGACATCCGTACAATATGTTTATTACTAAATAGCTAATTTTTACTCAATCTAGTCACGTGATTTTTCGCTTTTAACCCTCTCTCTACCTTTTCATGTTTACATAGGAAACAATCAATGAGTTGATAGTTTTCAACTAGTCGTACAAATATCCAAAATTCGCAACACCATGTGCACAATCCGACTAAAACGGCATTGTCCGTCTCTGTTCTACATTAAAAGTTGGAATAAGTATACTGAAAATCCTAAAACTTGTCGCGAAAATGCAATTGAATCCTAAAACTTTCAAAAAGTACAATCAAGTCGTAAATCTTGTTACGAAAGTGTAATTGGTTCCTAAAACTTTCAAAACTTACAATCAAGTCCTAAAACTTGTCAAGTTAGTGCAATTAAGTCTTAAAATTTGTTAGCATTTTCCGTCTATCAAGTTGGATGGAGCTAGCATTTTCCGTTTGTCGTGTTAGCAAAATGACGTACCAATACCTTTTTTCAAAGGTGAAAAAATTAAGAATTCAAGTACTTTTGCAATAATATTAATCAAAATCAAAATCATTCTTTCGAACCAACAGCCGTGTAATCGCAGGCTACTTTGTCTCATCATAATTCTTGTGGCGGGCCACGAAAATGAAAGTTTTGGAACATTAAATTGATTCTTCTTGAGAGAATTATATGCTTAAAACAAAATGGTATTATTGTAATAATTTCGCACGAGTTTGTATTAAACCTACGATTTGCTGTGTAAAATACTAGAAAAAAACATTGTTCATTTCACCTACACGTGGATAGATTCTGTATACACTGTCATCGACGAAATACAAGTCGACATATGACAAGTCCGACGTCGTTTCCTTAGAAAGAGGAGGAGGGAATCATGTATTTGCTTATAATCTCTTAATCAATTAAATAATCTAATTATGTCGAGTAAAGATCAATTATAGATAGGCGAGAATGCGACAACCCACGAGATTCACCGATCATAAAGAAATGTTTTTAGTGAACATGGATCATTTTTTTTTAATTCATGAGGAATCAATTTGGCGTTTAGAGCTTGATAGGTACAGTTAAGTATCAATCGATTATACCATAATCGAGTTTTTTTAAAATCTTAGACACATCAATTATGCAGCAGCTCCTTCCCTCAGAGAGGTTCTGGGTTCGAATCCCTACTCGGTTCCGTAATTTAAGTGGGGGGTCCTGGCGGTGGGTTGCTGGGCTAGTAGCTCTCGAGGTATAGGCGCCCCGATTACCTGTGCAGGCTCATCCCCGGGAAATGATGGCGGATCCTCGATTACCAAAAAAAAAAAATTATGCAGCAGCTACTCCTCCAATGTGACTTGTAATCAGAATAATATTTCATTTACTTTGGGTTTAGATCTTGATATGTAGAGTAAAATATCAAATTAATAATGAACTGCACAGTGCACTGACATAATTGTTGAGTTTTTAAAATTAAATATTATCAATAATGCAACAGCTCCTCCCTCCAAATGACTTTTGGTGTAATCGGGACAAAACTTTGTACTCTTTGGTGGGCACAAAGAAGCTCCCGAGGGAGCTACACCACCACATGATTTCTGGGGCTGAGCTTATGCTCGTACCTAGTCAAAGTATACAGCTCATGTACAAGGGCCGACAACATTCTCAGTCCATTTCGGCAGCAATTCTTAGACGAAAAAGTGGTGATCAGACAGTGAATCATCCGAAGTTTGAAGAGACATATTCTAAGGTAACGTAAGACAACGCAAGAGTGATTCCCGGAGGATTCCGTATGACGACGTTCCGTAATCATTTTCGTCGACCTTCTGTAGTTAACTCGTTCCGTTCATTTACACATGCCTTAAGTACCCTTTTCCGGGTTTTGCTTCCCCTCGAAAAAAAAATTAAAAATGGAACAAAAATTCAGGTTTATGAAGTATGAAAATGACCATATAGCTCAAATTGTCATCGTTTGAAAGTCGGATAAGTTCTGGTGGTGCCTGACCAAGCAAAAATTTAAGCAGGACCATCATCAAAAATAAAAATTTGCACGGGCCCCGCTCCAATGAATGCCTGTCCTCTTCGCTGAGAAAGGCGGGCCACATGGACCACCCATCTTTAATATGAATAGGAAGTTTATGCATTATTTCCGCGTTTATCTACTTAGGCCCCATGCGATTCAACATTTTCAAAGGGCTTTCGATCGAAAGCCAGCATTGAAAATGCTGAAAGCTCAAAACTGATCCAGATCAATTTTGAGCTTTCAGCATTTGCTAATACTGAACCTAATTTTTTTCTTCCCAAACTACCCTAACTTATTCTTTAATATTTCGATTTTGCCCCTTGTTGAAATTGCTTATCTTCTTCGCAAAAGGGCGGCCGGCGACAGCCACCTAGGGTCGCGCGACCCCCGGCGAGGGCCACTTAGGTCACACGACCCTCGCCAGGGGTCACCCTACCTCGGGCGACGGCCGTCGGCATCAGATTTGGCTTATAGGCGACCGTAACCCTTCGCCGGCTCCTACGAAGGATAACTGTTTTTTTTAATAAAAAAAGGATCCCAAATCCCTTTGCAAAAAAAAAAAAAAAAGAAGCCAAATACTACTTTGGCCAAAAGTAGCTTTATAAAGAATTTTTTACCAAACGTCATTTGCATTTTTCTAAGAGACCTTAACCTAAAGATATTTTTGCATTTCCCCAAGGCTAGTTTGCAAAGTTGAATCAAGCGGGCCTTTAATTATTTTCCTTTTTTTTTTTTCGTGTTGGCCAATTGGTACTTCTGATTTACAAAATCAGTAAAGTGGGAAAGGGCCCACCAAAAGGAAATAACTCGAGAAGGGAAATTGGAAACGTTTGGGGATTGGACCATAGGATTAATTTAATGTGAAATTTTTGCAAAAGGTTGTCTACAAATGAAGAGGAGGCACTATCAATCATGATACCGCTTTACGTTAGGATCGCACTCAAAGGACAGATCTCTTTGGGAAAAAAAAATTAATTATTTGCAGCATAGGACATGACATTTGAAATTTAAAAGGATACAACGTGTGTCACGTGTTTAAGGGCGTGATTGTTTAAGCTTTCCTGAAAAGAAAAGACAATTGCTTGTTTTCCTATGGATCCATTGCTTTAATCGTTTCTTTTCGTGGCTTAAGGACATCGCTTTCTTTCATAATTTTATAAAAAAATGATATGAAAATACACCTTTATCCTCTTAAAAGCCGCGCGCATTACAACCCCCGACGTAAACAATAACAGGGAGTCAACGGCCGTAACATGTAGCACCTAAAAAGTTCTCGAACTGACGAGTACGACCCGCCAAACCTCACGAGGGGCTTTGTGTAATTCCCCCCCCGCCCTTTTTTTTTAAAGTTACTTTCTTTCATAGGATCTAGCCTTAGTAGTGGAATGCTTCAAATGAATAATATATGTAGCCTGCGAGCTGAATAACTTAGGTCATCATGCACCCAGCCCCCCATTTTCAACGCGAGCGACGCGATCTGATAACGCACCGCGTGCTTTCACGAAACAGGAAAGTTTATGCAATTCTTGGGTCGGGCCAATGGTGATAAGATATGTACATTTTTTTGGTCAAGATGATGATAATGATGTTGAAACTTTCAAGAACGAGGGCAAAACGTCTCTTCAACTTGAATTTGGTCCGTACGATTTTGGTGGAGAGAATACTTTTTCACTTTTGTGTAAATTACTGAAAAAAGGCAACTCGTTTTCTTGGCCGGACTGCAAAGAAGGTTCGAAACACGTTTCGCCGCGGACTATACCGAACAAAGGTTTTCTTTTCTTTTTTTTTTTTTCATATTTGCAAGAGATAAAATATTTTCTTGATCATTCGAAGAATTCGGAAACAAGGTTGGCAAGCTCTTATCCTTTTGTTGCTTTCCTTTTTATATTAAGGTTCAATTTATTTCGCGAAAAATATTTTCCAGATTTTCCGGTATTTGGATCATTTAAGAAAATGAGTCAACGGAAAAAGTTCTCCTCACAAAATTTAAATTGAGGAAACTGATTTCTTTTTTAAAAAATCGAAAATCGTTTTCCAAAATATAATTAAGTATTGGTACTTGGACTAAAAACTCTACGATTGGGCACTTAAACCCAAATGCTTGTTTGGATTCTTGTGCCCTTGGCAACGAGGTTGAGTCCCCGACACCCGGACCCGGGACCCCGAGCTTAGGACCCCAGCACCTTGGCCCAAGTCCATCTAGACCACACCCGAGACCCCAAACGCTTGGCACTCGTGCCCGAGTCCATCGAGACTAGGCCTTAGAGCCTTGCACCCATGCTCGGGTCCCTGTCTTCCGAGCCCAGGTCCATCAAGGCCGGGCTCGAGACTCCTGTGCCTGTGCCCTTGCCTAGATCCCCTACGCTCGTGCCTCAATTCATTGATGCTTCGGGGCATCGAGGACCTAGGCCTGGCCTCGATGGACTAGGCTCTAGGTGTAGGGGACTGGGTCCCGGGCGTCAGGTTCCTTGGCAACCCATGCGTAAGCCACTAGTGACTGAATAGTATATACCTATTTAGAAAATATTTTCTAATTCATTTTGAGGTCTAAGATAAACACCAGAAAAATGTTGTTGCAAACACGACGTTAGCAAACTCAATGACCCAATTGAAATACGACCCAATTGAAATAAACGTACTTGCAAAGTCGAATGATAGTGTAATTTACCTAAAGAAGGATACTTGGTTAAACCAAATAAATCAGAGTCTACACGGGCTTCCATTTGTAAAATCCTATTTATTTTATTCGTAAATTGTCAAGATCATGAACATGAAGCAGCTATTCTAACGCAATCTAATTGTATGCAATTTCAATAAAAAGATGTAAATTACAAATATTGGAGTAAGAACGAGACCTGAAAATGTCTCTAACACCAAAACCACTCTAATTATGATAATTTAGTTCCCTAATATCTTTTTTTTATATTTAAATTTTCTAATTTAATTGCGTAGACAGTGATAATGCACCATTTATTTCAAGGAAATTTTCTAGCCAATATAGACATTTCCGGTAAAAATACAAATATACCAAAAAACCCGTTACAGAAAAATTTATCGCTTACGACCAAAAAAAAAAAAGAATAATTTATCGCTTTCGTGAATTCAAAAGAACACAGTGACGGTGGTCCTGTCGCTGGTTCGTCACACGTCCGTCACGTTGCGTCACGAGCCACCGGAGATCGGCTCGTCCGGTCGGTAGACCAGGTCATCCAGCTGAGGCCTCAGCTTGTCTTTCCAAATGCCCCGGCCAGGTTCATCCCGCCACCTGACCTCCACCACCAGCAGGTCCGCCGTCAGCCGGCGGACCCTCACCGCCGCTACGAGCTCGCCGCTCTGCCCCTCGACCCGCACCACGTCCCCCTTCCTCCGCGCCGCGGTCACGCCCTCCTCGCCGGCGGCGACCTCCCCCACCCTCTCGAGGACCCTCTCCGGCGCCTCCGCGGACACGAACCGCTCCGACCGGACCGGCTCGCCGGAGTCGCGGATCAGGCCGGAGAGGTCGAAGCCGGAGGAGAAGGAGATGATGTCGAACGCGTTCAAGCTCTTGCTCGCGCTGTCTCCGTCTTCGGAAATGTCCTTGGCGTCGAAATCGTCTTCCTCGGCGTCGAAATTGTCTTCCTCGGCGTCGAAATCGTCTTCCTCGGCGAACTTGATCTCCTTGTACCCCTTGCGAAACCACGGGTCGCTCAGGATCTCGTCGACGGTGATCCGGGTCTCCGGGTTCGTGTCCAGGAGGCGCGAGAGGAACCGCCGGAGCTCCGGGGACGTCCACTTGGGGCACCGGAACTCGCCCTTGTAGATCTTCCGGTACATGACCATGAGGTTGTGGTCGTTGAAGGGGAGGTAGCCGGCGTTGAGGACGAAGAGGATGACGCCGCAGGACCAGACGTCGACCTTGGCGCCGTCGTAACCCCGCTTGGTGAGGATCTCCGGCGCGACGTAGGTCGGCGTGCCGCAGAGGGTGTGGAGGAGGCCGTCGGCGCGGACCTGGTCGCGGACGGCGCTGAGCCCGAAATCGGACACGCGCAGGGCCCAGTTCTCGTCGAGCAGGAGGTTCTCCGGCTTGAGGTCGCGGTGGAAGACGCCGCGGGAGTGGCAGTACCCGACGGCGGAGACGAGCTGCTGGAAGTAGCGGCGGCAGAGGTCCTCGCTGAACCGCCCCTTGGCGACCTTGGCGAAGAGCTCCCCGCCTTTCGCGAACTCCATGACGAAGTAGATCTTCGTCCGCGTGGCCAGCACCTCGAAGAGCCGCACGATGTTGGGGTGGCGCAGCCGGCGCATGATGGCGATCTCCCGCTTGACGTGCGCCTCGAACCCACCCTTCACCACCTTCTGCTTGCTCACCGCCTTGATCGCCACCCCCTGCCCCGTCCTCACGTTCCGCGCGTAGTACACCTTCGCGAACGCACCCCGGCCCAGCAGCCGCCCGATCTCGTACCTGCCCATCAGGTTCACCTCCGGCAGTCCGCCCTCCTCCGCGGCCGCCGCCGACGACGACGACGACGACGCCGCGGCGTCATCCCCGTGGCCCTCCTCGATCTCCGACGGCATCGGAACCGTCCCGCCCCTCCTCGTCGCCCGGCGAAGTATCAGAGGACAATCGCGGGGTAGCGAGAACGTCCCTGTCCCTGTTCCTGTCCCTGTCGCCCCCGCTCCATGTAAAGGGGACGGGGGAAGCTCCGGAGCTCCCTTCCCGGAAGAGCCGTGCGGGGCTCTGGGAAGTTTGATGCTTCGGAAGAATGGGAAAATCTTCGGGTGCGGGCGGGGGGGGTTTACGATGCTTATCTACAAAGATAGAAACTTTTCTTCCCAAGCGGAAAGGCGCAAATTGGGAGAAATAGAAGGGGAAGGAGGTGGTGGTGGTTGAGACGGAAACAGTGGAAGCAGCGAAACCCAACGCGTCCCGAAGATAGACACGGAGAGAACGGGGGGGACCAGAAATGGTAAACAGGTACAGTGGAGGGAGGGAGGGAGGGAGGTGACTGCGATCGATCATGGAAGGGGTTCGGTCAGATCGTGCGACGTCGCCTCGTGACCCACGGGGTCCGTAACTCCTTTTGCTTCTTTCTTTCCTTTCTTTCCCTTCTTTTTTTTGTGATTTGACGACTCCGGGCGGCGTGCGGGGCGTGGGAAAGGGATGAGGGAATTGTAATCAATGCCGGAGTCCTTCCTTGTTCCATACATTTTTAGTCTCTTGGATAACGCATAGAAGATTGACATCTTTGATGGGAGGATGTTAAGCTCGTCGCATTCCCACGCGCCAGCACGTCTCTTAGACGTGCGGGGGCGTGGGAAACGTGCGGGGCGTGGGAAAGGGACGAGGAAATAGTAGTCAATGACAAAGTCCCTTGTTCCATACGTTTCAGTCTCTGGGAGAACACATAGAAGATTGACATCTTTGACGGAAGGATGTTTAGCTCGTCGCATTCGGAAACAGTTAGGCTGCGTTTGGTCGTCCGGATTTCTAAACAGGATAGGACTGGATATGATAGGATAAGAAATCCTGAGATTTCTTCATATCCTGTCCACTGTTTGGTGGACTACGGATTTAAAGTTGGATAGGATATTTTTTATTTTATTTTATTGCTATTCACGGGTCCGGAGGAGTCAGTGAAGGAAAAAAAAGCCAAGAACTTTTTTTGGTGAAAGCGCACAAGGTGTGGGGATGAAGATGACGGCAAGTGGAGCGTAGGGTTTTTGGAAAAATAGGCATTAGAAATCCTATCCGGGTCTATCCCACCCCCCTCCCCCGGATTTTTTATCCGGGTTATATCCGGTCTATATCCGACCTTATCCTATCCTGGACCACCACCAAACACAGGATAGGATAAAACATATCCTATCCTAGCTTTTATCCGGTCGACCAAACGCAGCCTTACGGATGATGTTTTGTGTGCTCGAGTCGTCGTTCAGATTAGAGCTCGTCCGTCTTTCGTTGGTGGGAGGGACGGCTAGATTCGATTTTCCGGTCTTTCGGGGTTTCCGCCTTGTCCTTGAAATTTGGTGATCCATATATGAGTTGTCGATATGAACTACGAGATGGATTCTCTCCAAGTTGAGCTAAATGAAAGCGATGGCATTCCTATGGGGGTCATGACCAAAGTGGTTTTGCCAATCACAATGTCGGATGCCATTTAGGCGCTTAATTCATCCTTTTCATCTCTTTGAAACTAGGAAAATTATTCTTTGTCACAGACCTTGCAATATATACTAAGAAGGGCTCGTGTGGACTTTTGCTAGGTTACACCGCGGTGCATCGATTGAAATGGAATAAGTTCCGATTAGGCTCCGTTTGTCTTGCTCAAAATGAATGACTTTGAAAACATTTTCCCAGAGACGATCGCTCGTACTGCTCCAAATAATTAATCGATGGAAAATATTTTTGTTATCAATAATAATTTGTGTCTAAATGTTTTCGTGAACGATAAAAGTATTTTTCGTTCATTCATTTTAGCGATCATCATTGGGACGTTTTCTAAATCGTTCATTGACTGCGAAACAAACGGAGCCTAAAATCCTAAGTCATCCACTTGTAATTGGCTTGTTGTAGGTCCAGACCTATTGTAGTCTATTATTGTGGGGTTTGATATCGACTCTTGCCCTCCTATGTTGCGTAGCAAGTAGCAACCCAACATTAGTTGTGCCCCACCTATCGACCTCTTTTACGTCTCTCCCCCTAAGATCTCAAACGGCTTAAACCTTTCAAACGACCTTTAATTTGGCCATTAGGATGCTCCAAGCAATTTGCTAATTGCCTGCCCAATCATCTTTATCTCTATGCCAAACTCTAATCGATATAGCACTCCTCGCCTGTCATCCGGTTGGAAAATTATCAAAAAAGTCCTAAACATATTGCACTTTTACCAATTTAGTCATTAACCTTTTAATTTTGCTAACTGAGTCCTAAACCTTTTCATTTCTAGCCAATTGAATCCATCCGGCCAATTTTGGCTAGAAATTGCTCACGTGGATAAATTTTTTAATAATATTTTAATATTTATAGAAATTGCTCACGCGGACAATTTTTTTAATAATATTATTAAAAAATTGTCCACGTTAGCGCCGGCGGTGCCATGTGGCACGGCCAAAATTGGCTAGATGAACTCAATTGGCAAGAAGTGAAATTGTTTAGAACTCAATTGGCAAAATTGAAAGGTTTATGACTGAATTGGCAAAAATGCAATAAATTTAGGACTTTTAGGACAATTTTCCCGTCATCCAGCATTAGAGTTCCTTAAAGTCGCCTGCTAGAACTGCCCGTGAGACGCCTCTCTGTTTTGCCCGAAATTGTACTTACGTGTGATATTTGCTCATCCACAAAGTAAGGAACCTTAGGATCAGCTCCTAAACAGATATGACAGCAATTCTGGTGTGTATGCTGTACAATGAATATACATTGGAACGTTTACTCTTCTAGTTCGACTTTGACTACACCTTTCACAAAAATACAAATTAGGGTTTTAGAAGTAAAAAGCACGTGTTCTACAGAATGATAAAATCATCTTCTCCTAGATTTATGTATTGATAGGACTTACATTACATTGACTTCAACTTTTGCTAGAGGACATTGCCTGGCAAGAAATAAAAAACGAAGTCTACTTCTGTTTCCACGAAACCGAGATCTCTTGCCAATAATGACCATGTGCACATTAAAAACGTCTTAAAATATTCAATCTACGAGTTTAAGGTATGTCCTTAACTCTTTTGGTGCATTATTTATAGAAATTAGTTGCTTCTATGAACAATAATTGTCTTACTATAAGTCTAGGATATGTACTATTCTCTTTAAAATTAATATGCAAATATTTTATGCCGGATTTGGGAGTTTCTCTTTATTGAATTTGGGAGTTAATGATAATAGAAATGGCACTTTTTCATGGACTGTACGTTAGGGCATATTTGTCATTTACACTGATATACGGCTTCTACCAAATAAGAAAAAGGACAGAGGATGTGAAAATATATGGTTTTTTTACTGCAATTCATCAAACAATGAATATGATATAACAAAATCCATGAATTTCATATCATGTACTATTTATTCTTATCCAAATTGAAAATCTCGACAACCAAATATAGCCTTAACATAATAATTTTTCACCATTGAAAGTGTGAAACTAAATGCAAGAAAAGGATCTTCACAAAACGGGGAATGGCGGGACATTTCAAACGTGGCACAAAATGTGTATTATTTGGTAAAAGTAAGATGAGATGTTCACAACTCTTTGTAACTTTTCGCATTTTGCAATTCTAATTATGATATCCTTTATTTTCCTGAAAAAAATGACAAACAGTATATTTGATGCTCTTGAAAAATAGATAAATAGGTACATGTTCAAACTCGTGGTTGATGATGAAACTGGATAAGTGCACGCGACATTTTTTGAGATAGCCTAAAAAGTTATTGGATGCCTGTACAAAGAATTAATCTAATTACAAAGTTTGTTATTAGATGTCTTCCTTCTCCAAATTTAATTACGACCAAGGTTTGTTTTGCTTAAGAATTTGAATCAATAATTTTTTTTAATTATTTGGATCATAACAAAAAGGGATTTGTGAGATTTTGTGGGTTCGCTGCCAACTGTTTTAAAAGTTTAAGCTATTAGATGAAAGTTTAGTTTAATATTTGAATATTTTATTAGGATTCAATTAGCAGAAATCCCACAATGCAAGAAAAAATTGCTATATCTTAAATACTAAGGTTAACTAAGCGAAAGACTCCAAGAGCACATTGGGAAGGATAACAACAGAAGAAGTGATCCAAGATTTGATCCAACATCATCTTTATCACTATTGTTTTATTCATACTATTCTCGTTTTCTTTCAAATAACATTTAATATAATACACAAGTGTAAAAAGAAAATAAATGGATGTGGCATCACATGCAGCGTGGGTATTCTTTTAAATACAATCCTGTAAAAGTTCGAGGTGATTTCTAATTATTTTTAAAGATTAAGTTGTTAGATAAATATTTATAATGCGACTCCCGAAATAGCGTTGCTTGTTGTACAAAACTATAAGAACTAATAGCTGTACGATATCTTAATAATGCGCACATCGCCCGTACGATGGAAATAGGTGGCAGGAAATGATAGTTGCCCATCATTGGAATCACCAGTGGCATTTAATTTTCTATAATGATGGTTTAAAGAACTAAGAGAAGTCAACGCGATTATCATCTAATTTTTAGCCCATTATAATTGATTAAATATTTAGGCTCTATTTATTTTGTAAAAAATAAATAATTTATAAAATATTTTCTTAAAAATAATTACTTATATCGTTTATAAAAATGAAAAAAAATGATAAATGTCCATGAAAATATTTGGACAGAAATTATTGTTGATAATAAAAATATTTTTCATTAACTAATTTATTAAAGCAATCGCTATTATAAAAATATTTTTCAAATCATTCATTTTTCGCGAATCAAACAGAACCTTTATATATCTTATTTTCCATGATAAGTCTAGACTAGTTTTTAGCATTGTCACCTTCAATTCTCATTCACAATTTTATAAAAATAGTTTCAATAAAACATAGTAAAATATGCAATTTATTTACGAATTGAACCAAACCACCTAATCAGTTCAGTTCGAAAGCTTTATTCAATTTGATTTAGTTTGTAATTTTCTCAAAGTATTAATTTTCAGTCTAGTTTGATTGGAAATTAATTAAGTTGTTTGATGACTTACATTATATTGACTTCAATTTTTACTAGAGGACATTGCCTGGCATAAACCAAAAAAAAGTCTACTTTAGTTTACATGAAATCGAAGTCTCTTGCCACTAATGAGCATGTGCACATTAAAGACGTCTTGCGATATTCAATTTATTTAGTCCAACATTGACAGCAATTAATTGCTTCTGTGAACAATAAATATTGTCATACCATACGTCCAGGATATGCACCATTCTTTTAATATCTTTTATTTTATTGAAAAATTATAATAAATAGTATCTTGAATATTATTGATAAATAGATATGGGTGGTTTATGATGGAACTGGACAAGTGCAT